CTCAAGCTCCTTCAGCTTCTCAACACGGGCCTTTTCCCTTTCTATTTCCCTCTGTCGTCGTTCTTGCTCCCGCCGTTTGTCTTCTCTCTCCTTTAGCTCCTGCACAGCCTCATGGCGCCGGATCTCTAGAACTTCATCCCAGTCCAGGTCACTGTCTTCACTGTCCTCTTCACCTTCCGAGGCAGTCTCAGTGTCTGAACCAGACCCTGAACCAGTTGGTCTCTCCATGACCAGTCCATCTTTCAACATATCCCGCCAAGTAGGGTATCCTAGTGTGTCAAAGAGTTCATTGTGAATAATCTGCAACAGTCTGAAATACGATGTTTCAATTCTGTTGGAAGAATACTCACTAATCTTCTTATAGCCTAAGTAGAGGTATTCATCTTCTTTCATGGATGCTACTTCCTTGCCATTCTTGTTAGCTGTTGGACTTGGTTCAGGCTTGTAAAGATCAACATCTCGAAAGACCTCAATGATGTTGTCTTCAAGACAAAATGAATCCTCAAGCTCCCCCTCATCTGAGGAGTCATCATGCTCAAACAGAGCCGTTTGCTGTTCACCTGACTCAGTACTGAGTGGGAGGAAGAAGATGTCTGGTTCTAAGTCCTCCTCCTCATCAGGATCCATGTCAAAGTCTCGCAATGCATCAAGTTCGGTGTATATATCAATGTTCCGCATCAAATCGCTCGTCTCATCCCCACCAGCATCAAATATTGCCAACTGCTTCGGCCAAGACTCGGCAAGCAGCGCCATGGATTCTGCCTCCTGGAAAACACAGGGATAATGGGGAGTTTCAGCCTTGTGTCACAGCCTGTTATATTCATGGCAGTAATGCTCAGTAATTTATTGACAAGACAGTAACCTCAACTTCAACTGCACTATCAACATCTTTAATTATCTATGCAAGGCATTTGGCAATACATATATTCACAAACTTTTAACTGAGCTGCCATTAGTAAACAAAGACACAGCTGTACCCCACATCCCATGTGATTTCCAAGGTGCCATCTACGCCACCACAACAGAAGCTTTCTTACATCAATAACTTTCACCAATCTTTAGATTTCTATACAAAAAAAGTAGAAATATCAAAATGGACCTTGGGCAAAGCCATCAACACACACCGTCCTATGTGAAGCACCCACAACAGGCACACAATTTACTCGAAGAGCTGGATACATGCAGCTCATAAGACTCTACTAAAATGACATTCTGAAGGATAGGCTCTAGACTATGCTTGGGCGGGCGGGTGTGTGGGTTTGGTGTGAAGCCTCAACCACCCCTGACCAGCATTGTTTCATGGCACCCTTGGGCAATCACATAGGACAGAGAGGTAGTTGCAGTATGAATAATAAGGGAAACAGATAAAAAAATAATAATAATAAAAAAATAAATAAAAAATAAATAAATAAATAAATAAATAAAAGGATATCTTCCATCAGTTATTCAACCTCCATTAGTGCCCACAAATTATATACCAACCATGATGACACTCCAAAATGAGACAGATTATTCTGTGCATCTTGTATATCTTTATTTGCAATTTAAGAAATCAATCTTTGGCAATAATAAACAGGATCTAACAAATAAACAAACTCAGTTAAGAGGCTTCATCATACCAGTTTTATGATCATTATCATTACTACTTCATGATCAGGAAAAAAAAAATCCTATTATCAGTGTCAGACCAACAGCTAAAAATAACATAATGCAAACATCTGAAATGGCATATTAATATCCCATAAAAATTGTAAATGACACTACTTCGTGAGTGGAAAAAAAAAGTTGAAAGAAATGTTTACTTACTGTTTCTATGATCAATCATAAAGGAAAGAGATAACAGCAAAAAGAATAACAAATAATGGGAAGGAGAAAAACAAGTAATGAATAGTGGAGAGGTGAAAGAAAGGAAGGAAGGAAGGAAGGAAGGAAGGAAAGGAAAAAATAGAATAAAAAGAAAGGGAAGGGAAGATAGGAAGGATGGAAGGAGAGAAGGAAAGAAAAATAGGAAAAGCAGGAATAAGAATGGGAGAGTAGCGAAAATAGGAGACTGAAAAAAGGGGAGGAAAGGAGAGCACAAAGGAGAGAGGGAAGTAAGAAAGGGAAAGCGGGCAAAAGGGGAGACTGGGAAGAAGAAATGGATGAGACAGAAAATTTAAGATGAAAACAGTAATGTAAGGAACATCTGTGTTTTGAAAATATGAAGGAAACACTTGATCTCAATAAAGATAGGCAAGTAACCAAGAGCAAAACTTACCCAGGGGCGGTCTGGAGGGGGTTGGCAGGTGCTGTGTGCTGACGGTCCAAGGCACTCCATGTGGTAGTAGTTGCGACAGTCTGAGCATCGAAGGAGCGAGTCTGCCCCAGGGGCTCCACACACATGACACACAGCACACCTGCGGCAAATCCAAAAAGCCTCCTCCACTTCCGACTCTGGTCCCTCCCCATCCTCTAGGCAGTATGGATGGACTCCTTCACAGCACCAGGCACAGTACAGCAGCTAGTTGCCAGCAAAAAAAGGAAGACATTTCAAAACTCTTGCACCATCATGCATGTTTATGTCAACCTTCAACAATTTGGTGTCAGATCCATTAATATGCTATGCTACAATTTTTCCAAAATAGTTGTACAAATGAATTATCGGGAACAATGAAGACAAACAAGGAAAATGTTAAATCCATTAACCCATTAGCGAAAAAAAAAAAAAAAACATTGCCAAGCGTCCTGCCAATGTGACGCTGTATCGGGGCTGCGCTCCAACGCAGCAGCGGGCAGATAGACTCAAAGGAAACTCCGCCCGCCGATTTTGTAGCCACCCGGAATATTTTATTTTTGGCTTCAAAATATACCAGCATGAAAGGGTTAAATTATCTTTTTTTTTTCTTATTTTCTTATTTTTTTTGGGGGGGAGCATGGGAGCACTTTCTTTACAGCTGTCTGGGACATTACAATCCATATACTTGTACACTGCCATAAGACAGGTCTGTGCTCCACTAGCCTCCAACCCTTTTTTCTTTATACAAACTATGTTGTGACAAGCTTGCACACACACATACATTAGTTGCTAAATTTGTAGAGTATGTTTCATTATCAATATGAAGGTCATAATTGTTTATTAAAAACACAAACTAATTCACCATCATACAACATGTGGGGCATGCTTCCTCTTAGGTAAAGTCATGGGTATTTACCTTCCCCTGACCAGTGCCCTTATGTTATGATCCATGTATGATGACAGTCATTACATTTGTCTCTGACTACTTTATTACCATCAGGGCAGTAGTAGGGTTAATGATGCACACAAATATATGCCTTCCCTTGACATGTGAGTAAATTTTACTTTTATACTACAATATTAGCTTATTGCTCATTTCTATGGTCAAGAATATTACTAGCTTAGATGTATCCTTTAGCTTAATATATCACCATGTCACATTTGACCCAATAAAGAGGGGGCTACGAAATCACCATATCAAACAAATGTTAACTATGCTTGAGCAGCTATTTGTGAGGTCATGCTTAACCCTTTGTCTGTGGGTGGCATCTCCTATGATGCCATGACTGTTTGTGGACAAAGTAGTGGATGGTATTACCCCTATTGCGCCATAGGCTCATCAGACAGAGCTTTATTTTCTCCGATGGTAGTGGCTTCATTTGTATGGTTTAACTTTTAGGCAATAGGACCTAAGGTGAAGGTGATCCCTAATGTTGTTCATAAACTACCAAAAAAGCCTGATACAAAACGGGGAAACTGTCATTTCATGCCAACAACCCTGCAATCATGTCCACTTGCCAAACTTTTACCTGCTGATATTAGGTTAGCTACTTTGAGGATTTCAGTATGTTTATAGACTATTTACAAATGTGAAAAAATCAGATTTTAGAGAAGTGCTGATGTATTGCACAATTGTTTGGTATATTTTAATGATTGTTCTTTAAACCATAAGCCATCAACCTCTCTTGACACCCTTCATCAGGTCATCTTGGAAGGCTTGACATCCCCTTAGCATGAGTTAGTCTTAAACTGAATTTGGTGATATATACATATATATACATATACATATACATATGGATAAATTTATGTGTGCGTGTGTGTCTTTACACACACACACACACACACACACACACACACACACACACACACACACACACACACACACACACACACACACACACACACACACACACACACACACACACACACACACACACACTCACACACACACACACACACTCACACACACACACACACACACCACCACACACACACACACACACACACACACACACACACACACACACACACACACACACACACACACACACACACACACACACACACACACACACACACACACACACACATATATATATATATATATATATATATATATATATATATATATATATATATATATATATATATATATATATATATATATATAATATATATATATATATATATAATATATATATATATATATATACATATAATTTATATATATTATAATAAATATATATAATATATATATATATATATAATATATATTAATAATATATTATATATATATATATAATATATTATATAATATATTATGTATATATTATATTCATAATATAACTATACTATAATATACTATATATAACTTATATAGTATAATTATATTATAATACTAAATATATATATTAATATATATACATTATATTATATCATTAAACATAAATATACATATATATATAATAGTAATACATATATATAATATATTACTAATGTTATAAATATATATAATATATAGTATATTATATATATATATTAATATATATATATATGTATCTGATGTATATACTGATTAAATATACATATAGCATAATAATATATATAATATATACTAGTAATACTGTACGCAATCATATATATATCGAACTGATACCATATATAAGAATACACTATATATACATTATACTTTAATACATATTATCTATATATATATAATTTAGGTTATTATATATCTATTTTATATACTATGTTATACTAATTATCTCACTAATATATTATACATCACCATTATATAATATAAATATAAATCTATATATTATATATAATACTCAGTAGTAATGTATACATATATATAGTATAATTAATAACTATGGCTATTAATATAGTATTCATCAGTATAATATATATTACAATATAAATATACTAACATATATATATATACTACGTATAATATATATATATGTAAAATATAATATATGTATATGTATATGTATACAATATACATATATTAAACATATATATATATAATATATATAAATATATAATGATACATATAATATATAATATAATATATATATAAATAGTATATGATAATATAATATATTTAATATATATATATACACATTATAATATAGTATAACATCTATAATTTAATAAAAATATAAAATGTACTCATAACATTTAATACTTTAAATATATTTCTACTATTCTTAAATCAATTTCAATCTAAATTTACATTGAATATAAACGTCTTTCTATATAAAAACAAATAATAAACTTACTATATAGTATACGTATATAATATACTGTTTATTTATCTTAATTTAAAACACAAATATGGAACAATAGAAATGCTTATATGTACTAGCACCTAGTTTGTATACTATAATATATATTATCACTATCATATGTAAGTGAAATATATAAAATAAAGGTAAATTATAATACTATCACTATATAAACAATATGATTTTATGCATAACGATATATTATTATTAATGATTTATACTACTATTTTATTATAATAATTTTTTTTTTTTTATCACACTGTCTTCACTTCTCACCATATATTATTCTTATCACAATTTCATGTTACCTATTGACCACTTACTAAATAAGTCTCCATATAAACCACTAATCTATGCTATACATTTTAATATTATATCAGGATAATATTATTCATATTATAATATTATAACATATCATGTAATATAATATCTCACTCAGACACTTAATTACTTATATACTTGAGATTCGAATTACTATATACACACTATATTACATATATTACCTATTATACAAGTACATATATATTTACTAGATAAATTATTCGTTGTATTCGATTCTATATCAACTATCTATACCCTATATAGAATCGTACTGAGTTAACGTATGTAGATACTTCGGGTCACTACTCTATAAATTCATCGGACTCGTAATATAATAGGACTTTACATATAATATTCAGATATATATCTACTAATTACAAACTCCTACTACTAAACTGATAATATCACACTATCATAGTGTTTATCTAGTATATCTACTAACTATATATATTAATGGATGAATTTTATATATACGTTACTACATTTATACCATTATGTAGAATGCTTCATATAAAACGCGAATCGTAGTAATAAATTCATAAATAATTATCTACTAGGTATAGTACAATACATATATTTTATACATACCATATAAATATTTATATCTGTAATAGTTACTATTTATTAGAGACTTGATATAATTACTCAACTATAACTATAAATAGTTATAGATAGGTATTATATACATATATATCTAGAATATACTTAACCTATATATCATATTATAATATAATGAGATAATACGGAACCCTATATACCGGAGGATCCATCTCTAAAAATTGTGATTATTATTTAGTAATTCATTGATATTAATTTGAGTTGAATGACTTATCGAGTCATATAGTATGACATATCATCCGGCCTTACCTACATCTACATATCATTTAGTATGAAGTTATATATACAATATTATTTATTGAATAATAAACATAATCTATATAAATATACTATGTGAAATCAAATCTCTATAATATATAATACTTATGTGGAATAAAATCATACCTATATATATATTCCTCCAAAATGTACTATATTTATATTTCTTATTTAGTTAATACTATATAACACTTAATTTAAGCCGTAAAAAACACTACACGGGTGGTAACGCTTTAGGGTAAAATGGGCTGTAGGTATAGTGTCAGTACTATACCACTCTTATTAGGGTGAGTGAGAAGCGGCTCACTAATAATATATAATAAGCGAAATACTTAGCTACTACATAATAAGTCCAGTCAACTTAACTGTAGCTATAAGACGGATATAATGTAGTAAGGCACTATTTATATAGATATATAACTTTGAAATGAGAGGATCCACGTATGCGTATACATCTAATCAGCGTCGAGTATATCTTTAAAGCTGATTTTATTTACCCTGAGAGAAATAATCACATTCAAATTCATCGAGGTCTACGTGCCCACATCATGACATTCTCCGCGATAATATCCGTAATAACTCCATCATATCAGCCACTGCTTATAAGAAATCATATACATATATTGTAACTCTTATATACTATCTACACCACTGGCAACTGATCTGAGGTACATATAAGGCCAAATCCATATAAGTAATATTATAATAACAATAACTCAACAAAAGCCTATGATATTA